TGGGCTAACAAATTGCTGGCCAATCCTAACGACACACACACACACACTCTCATCGCCGAGCCGCTTTGTTCCCATGAGACCTGACAGGCGTTGCACATTCTTGCACGTTCTCATGGATGGTTTGAAGGTTGCAGGCCACAGGACACCAACAAAGGTTGAAGGACCCGAACTAGACTTTCCCAGTTGGGTACCCCAGGTTACTAAAGGGGTCCGATGTACGGTCACTGGCTACCTCTCGCCTTGGCCACCATGCAAGACATGGAGAAGCCGATCTTCTTCTCCCGGTCCTTGGAGCCAACGACGTGTCGTGCAGCAAACGGGGGTACCTCATTTCCACAGGGTACTTTCATCACTCAACATGGAAATGGAAAATGGATGAACATAGCCTCTGGGAAGACGACTTTCCTTTACAAACAGTGGGTTTTCCACTTCCGTGTTAGTGAGTTGGAGTGTATATAGAGGCATCCAGCACCTCTCATAATCTTTCATGTGTAAATACTCCTGACCTAGGAGTTTTTGAAAGCTTCCCAAGCTGGTGGGTGTGACACCAATATTGCTGATGATATTGCAGAACTCTGACTCTGATTTGTAATCCTTCAAGCATCTTGATCCTGGAAACTAGCATCGGGCTGCTTTAACAGCAGTCATCGGAGTCGACCCTCTTCATGATACACCCACTCAGAGCTTAGCTTCGAAGACTTCGAGGATCTCCTCTCTCTTCCCCGAAATCATCTGCTGATAGAGCACCTTGCCCCGAATAGCGCTGCTCATCTGCTCGTGGAAGGAGCGGGGATGGTCTCCAATTTTGTTACAGTAAGAGCTGAATCTCCAAGTTGGGTCATCAATAATGATCTGGAACATTCCACCAGCTGTTGCTCAAAATTGCTTGCTGAGATACACTGCGGCATCTAGGGGATGGATAACTGCATGCGTTTTATCACTAGACTTGTCTCTAATCGCCTAAAATCCTGGGACGCTGTTTGAACTCAAAGAATGGCACCACCAGCACTCCAAAATGTTGGGGATGGCACAACCCAAAAATATTGCTCTGTTGGTAATTGTATATACCAGTACATAAATATAATATACAATATATATATATATATATACAGCGGATTGAGAGTAGATGGCACAGACCCCAAGAGATGGTTTATATGGACCCCCATCTAAAGGACATCTTGGGGTCTGTGCCATCTACTCTGAAACCACTGTAATATATATATATATACATACGTTGTTTATTTGTATATGGCGACTTCCTGGTCTGTGATTTGCATGAGACACCAGCTCCAGCTCCGCGCCCGTGTGGCCATCTCCGCTCCAACCTCCCACTCCTCGCTGGTGGCTTTGGGTCCGTAGGACAAAGCTTCGTAGAAGACGGGCCACTTCTCCTGGAGCCAATGACGCGTCCGGTCGAAGCCCGGGCAATGAACCGGAATCCAAATAAATAACCCAGCATTGGACATGGTACCAGGGTGGTTGACCCCATGAGCTTAAGCGAGTCTGCGGCTCCAAAGCTGTTCCTTCCTTCCTTCCGTCCGTCCTTCCTTCCTTCATGCTTTGCCCCTCTCCGCCTACAAACAGAAGCATATCAGGAGAACAAACTTCCCCCAGACTATGCACCACCATCACAAGTGTTTGCTGCCCACCATTCAGTCCGTTCGACTCTGGGTGCCTAAACAAAGGTCTTGTGATATGATCATGCCAAAACAAAGGGTGCACCAAAGAAACAAGCAAGCACCTCCATTCAAATGATCTGCAACATGACAGGGAATATAGTTGATTCTAAAAAATATATACTAGAAACAAAACCTATAGTTAATATATATATATATACGAAACATGTGAATATATATGTGTGTGTATCCTCAATCCCTTCTTGCTTCTGTCTGGCTCCTGAAAGATGTACTCCCATTGCATGGAGCAAATCTGGCGGCTGGTCTCTGCAATGCTTTTGGCTGATAGCCGGAAGAAGTTCCTTAGATTGCTGCACGCTGCTTGGATCTGCCCGGTTCCCAAAGCCATGGCGGGCCCGGACGCTCGCATCTGCGCCGTTCTTGGTGAGGTATGAGGGTGGCTGAATCTCAAGAACTCAATAGTGGAGGCTCATTCCCTCATTCCCTACTACAGTAAGCAGCCTTGATGCCGGGATCCTGATCCTCACTTCGGACCTCTCTCTCCTGTGATCGCTTGCTCGAACCTCCCAGGGATTAAACGGTTTAGAAGATGCCACCGTCACCCTCAAGGTCGGCGGTTGATGGACCCCCATCGAAAGACATCCTGAGGGAAAGGGGCCATCTATTCTGAAACTGTAGGTGAACAGTCCAAACAAATCATCTGCATTCCATCTTCACATCATCATATGCCCCGCTGCAAAACGTCCGCCCGCGCGGACGGTGCTTGTTTGAAGCAAAGAATAACGATGATCACGAGATACTCAAATATCCTCCCCACCCCCTGATTTTTGTAGAGATAAGGGGGTGGTACCACACTTCTCGGTCTGCCAGTTTGCTTCCAGTTTGCGAGCGGCGGAAACACGCCCCACCAAGTACACTCTTCTCCAGAGGCTCGTGAGGTCCAAGGGATCTCCCAAGTATTCGGAGACGTGCATGGCCAGTGGAAGTTGGAGCACATTTTCAGAAACCGAAGCCATGCAGAAGAAGCCGTGCACGGGGCTGCTGTGAGGGCAATTCTTTAGCACCTGCAGCGCGAGAGCGAGGGTTCGAAACCAGCCACGAGCGCCGAGAACCCGGCCGATTCTGAAAAGCAGGTCGTCACGTGCAAGGTTTTATGCAAGAATTTCATGAGTGGAATGCGGGCGTTCTGATTCTTGTTGGGTTAGTTGTTGTTTTAGCGCCGCTCTTGGAACCTTACAACAGTCCTGAAGCAAGAAAGCAAGAAAAGTCCAGTGAAAGGTGCTGCTTTTTGTCAATAAAATCCAACAACGTTTAGCATGGTTGGGGAAAAAGAAACGGTTGTGTGACTTCTACGAAGTGCATCCCAGTTCTTCTGCATCCTGAATTTCCACACGTGAGGTGGCAATGGCAAGGCGGCAAGGCGAAGCACGTTCAACTGTCAAGCTCGGTGGGTATGTTACCTAGCTTCTTGGGGTTGATTGCTCATATGTGAATGAATATAGTATAATAACATATGTTGGCATTGGGGTCATGCTTTCCAAACCCTGTTTTGAGAAAGGGCGTCATCGTCTCTACTTCGCCGCGGGTGGTCGAAGCCTCCAACAGCCAACTTTGCACGGCCGAGCATAGGCGTTTGGCCTGATGATTCCTCAGGATTGGCGCAAAAAATCCCAGGAACAACTGACCCAAAGGGGAACAACATCTTCAGAACATTTCAATGGCTTTGATGAACTGCTGGTTGGTCATACATACTGAGGTGGGTATGCTTTAGCGGAGCACGGGCATACTGCTCTATGCCTCGCTTCCAAGCTTGAAGGCACTTTTTGAGAAGGCGAACCAGAACCTTAGGAAGGCGAACCTAATCCATGTTCTTCCGTTTCGCCACGTTTTTCCATATACCTTTCGCCCATGTTCCCCACCAGCAACTCAGGTGTTGTCACCCACTTGGGGATCCTCGACCAGCGACACCTGCGACGCCACTCGGACACCTTTGCACCCAGCCGAGATGCCACAGCGCCGGTGGCACATGCAAGGCCTCGCCGGATGAAACGGTTCGGAATCGGACGGTCCTGCGTTCGGACTCCTGCTGCGTTCGGCGTTTGTTGTGGCATGGAAAGGATGTTTCATAGGATGGAAACATGCCACAAGAATTCACAACAGTCCCTAAGATGGAAGTGGAAACAAATATCTGTCCTTTGAAGTGGAGAATATTCAGAAGTTGGTCCAATACTCCAATCGCCCACCCAAGAACCGCATTGACAAGCAAGTCCAGGGGATGGGCTCCTTGCTGCGATCTCAGAAATGATTACCACGTCTTTGTAGAGGAAAGTTGTCATCCACGCGGCAAGCCGTCCACTTAATAATATGCATTCAAAAATCAGGGAGTGCAACCGGCAAGCAAAGGCAAAGACACCAGAGTAAGTCTCCCTCATGTTGGAGCGATGGCCCTTGTTTTTATTGCCTGCTGCTTCTTGACCCTTTTACCTTCAAACATCTTCAAACTGCTTTCTGCCCATGAGCCCTCCAATCTATATAAGTTATTCCTTCTCCACACGTCATCCCAGCTGCCCTCCCTTTTAAAGCCTCCTGTGGAGACACCAACGGTGGTGGAGAGAGGGCAGCAGAACCAGCGGGCTGAAGCTCCGCTAATGCGGCGTACAACTCATGAAGATCATCCAACCTTCGCACCCCCGACCTGAGTCGCCAAAATGTTTCGCCCGTCGGACGGTTGCCCAACCGGACGGTTGCCAATCGGGATCTGTTTTCGACTCCTTCGGTTTTTCTTGAAAAGAAGGTTAACCTTTTTCCATCTGCAGTGGGGAAACCAATCCTCAAAAAAGGTGGTCCAGATTATCCGCTCTTTGGTACCAACTACACCGGACGCACGCAATCGTGCACTGTTGGGGCTTCTCATGGGGTATTCTCTCTATAGCGCAGTCTATGGCCGAAACCGTCGAAACTGCTTTCTTGGGGTGAAGAACTGGAGGATCTCCGGCAAAGGGATAGAATCCACGGAACGTATGGATTCCTTCTCTTGATTTGGTGTCTTTCTTGATCAAACCTTTCTATGATTGTCTGGCATGCCATGGCATGCCTGTCAATGCGGGTTCTGAAGCACTCTGGCACGTTGGGCAAGCGGCCAATCGGGCATCTGCCTCAAATTCTTCACAGAGATCTTGAAATCGAAGGAGAGCCTGGCTTGAGCAAATGCAGAACTCCAGAACTTTAAGCCTCCTCCAAACTAACCGAGCATTAGTGGAGGGGCACAATCTTCAAAACCCTTTTTGTGGGGTTGTGGGTTGAGAGAGGGTCTGTTGCACATGGCATATCTGCTTTGAAGTGTTAGGGGTCAATGGAGGAGAAACAATTCCTCTGGGTCCGGGTACATGAAGAAATGGATTTGTGTGCGGGGTGATTACGTTGATTCGTCAGCATGCTGCCGTTGCCCACGCCTGATGGGTTGTACCGGCACCACCTCCACCGAGGGCGGCACCGGAGCAGTCTCTTCGATCGAGCCGTCCTCCTCAGTATGAGCACATACGGACCAAAAAGTGCCGCTCGAAGCATGTTACTGTCTGATAAGGGCACGTGAATAAGAGACAAATAATCAATGATAAACTTCAGAAAGCCTGCAATGTTTCTTAACACTTGCACTGTACACACCATTACACACCCAACTCCCAATGAACATCCGTTGGATCTCCCGCAGTTCTTCTCACCGCATGGCGTCAAGCGAAGAGGTCCAGTTCCGATGACTTCGGTGCTTCCCGCGTGGTCATGAGGCACCCCCCCAGACAGTCATGCCTCAACCTGGAGTGCATTCAGATGAGTTGTTGCCAGTAAAAGGTATGTCATGTACGACCTACCTTCCAAAGTGGGATACCTCCACTAACACCTCCCATCAGCCTTCCCTGGAGTCTTTGCCCCACCCCGACCACAGGAAGAACCAAAGGGCCACGTCCAATTCAAACTCCACTGGGCCATCTTCCACGCCATAGAACCTGAGGATCTTTTTCTGGTCAGATTCGTGATGCCGTGAGCGATGCCGTGACGGAACCTGCCCAGCCCAGCTTGATTTGGGCGCATGCGAGCAGTTGCCGACGTGGACACCACAACGGACGATGTTGTCATTGTCAAGTCTGTTCTCATTATTTGAGGTGTGTTCTTTCTATGTCGTGTCTGCCCTAGGCCTCACGAACTGACTTTTCGTCTCACCCTCTCGCTGGGTGGCACTGGGCAATCTAAGGGAAGCTGAGGGCGAGGAGACCACTTCCCATCCTCAGCCGTGCCGTCGGACGCGCCCTGAAACAGCGGCGCACCAGGTGAAGCGGAAGACATGCTGGACGACCAACCTGGGGATATAAGCAAATACATGGTTTGTTTTATGTCTCTGTTTCGGATTTGCTTGATGAACCTGGAGGAGCAAGATCATATGATTGAACAAGTCATAGGGACCCTGCGATTTCGTCATTATCTACCACTTATATACCTTCCTGGAGGCCATAGTAGCTGGGTTCGGGGAGCAGAGCCGAGAATCCGGATGCGCCACCCATGGTCGATCTTCCGTGCTTTCCGGCTTCGTCATGCTTCCTGAGATGAAGGGATCATTTCAAAGAGGAAGGACATGAAACATAGCTGGGAAAAATGTTCGCAGAATGGGATGTTTTAGTGGCCTCACCATGGGGGTTCTTTGGAGGCCAAGTCTGGTGGGTCCTAATGGATTCCTGGGTGCTGGTGGGAGGATGATAGAAGTTCGTTTTCTGGTTCCCCGCCCAAATCCGTTCTGATCCATTCTTCAGTGCAAACTGACATCTCCATGTCCATGCGAAGCAAAATGTTGGAGTGATGAGCAATGGTATCATTGAGACAGGAGAAAAAAAACACATGCTATCACACTTGTCAGCCCGATCTGCGTCCACAAATGCAGCTCAAGCTCCCATGGGTCTGGGTCTGGGTCTGGGAAGATTGCCGGGCAAGTCGCCCAGCTCAAGGGGATTTGACAACGCAACGACCCCAACGGAAGCCTGAAGCCCAAAAAAATGGCCTGCAAAGGGCGAACTTGAGATCATTGGCATTGCAACGACACCTTTGATTTCTGCACCTGGACTTTTGCAACGACTCTCTGACACCTACAGGCTGAAGCTCACTTGGAACAAACGAAAAAAAATCACATAAAAACAAACTACAGTATATACAATCTCGTTGCCATCTTCCATGAGTCTCAATGCCCCAATGGTGCGACCGCTTTTTGTGCCGTGCCCGTCGAACACAAGCAAACTCGACACGTGGACATGGTCGGCTGAGCTTGGTGATCGGGACCTCTGCGAAGCTCACTGGCTTATATAGTTGAGATCAGGCTGCGCAGCAATATGTCCAACAATTGGGAACACCAAATGGGTTTGTATACATGTTTGTGTTAGAATATCCCTGAACGAGGGGGGGCTTTATCTGGAAGAAGGAACATAGACCAAAACCCCTTAAGGTATTGAAGATCTCCCCATTAAAGAACACACCCAAGAGGGGAAACCCCTGGTGGGTGGAGAGCCCACGTGGCGAAACGGCCTGCAGTGTGGAGAATTCATGCAGACCGAGGAGCAGTACGGCATGCAAGACGGAAACTGATTGGTCTGCAAATGGTCAGTGTCCCAAATTGAAAACAGTGAGACTCCCGGCAAGACAAGAATCATCTGGCCGATACCTACTTACATCAATTCCCAGTCACAAGTGGGGTGAACTCTCCTTCGTGGCCAGGGGGAGCATTGTTGCTTGATGAGGGTGGTGCCGGGTGCCAAACAATGTTACCAACATGCCCCCACAATGCTGCTGGGATTTTTTCGCATTTCTAGCGGTCCAGCACGGTCCAGCGGGCGGCCTTAATCCCATGTATTTCATTCATCTGGGGTTCGATTCCCCTTCACGTTGGACCGGCCCGGATTTGAGTTCGAAAGGGGGGTTTGGTGGCTCCTGCCGGCAACTTCATTGTTGCTAGCCTTTGTGGCTCGCCCGGCATTACCTCCGTCGTTACAGTTGGCCTGAGGCTGATTTCCTCTTCGGAACGAGCGTTTCTGATGAGGGAGGCGCTTTTCCCATACGCCGGCCACTGCAGGGTACAGTGGTCTTTGCCCAAGGCTTCTACCTTACACACTTTGCCCGGCTCCAAGCCGTGCGATTGCGCAGAGTTGACCTTCAGTGGTCGAGTTTTTTTGACTATGTCATGTACATGATGAACTGGAGAGTTTTTGGCCTTTCGGCCACTACCGGCGTCTAGGTTTTGAACCTTTGTTTAGCTTTAGGTTGCCCGGATTGCTTCGGGTACCACTTTGTGTGGGAAAGCGTCGCTTTGTTTACCCTGCAAGACCTGTATTATAGCTTTTCGCTGAGGACGCTGTCCTCTTTGCCTCTACCCCAGAGTTAGGGTGTGGCATTCAGATTTCAGATAATTAAGCCTACATTACTGATATTACTGGTGGTTTCAGGGCTCAATGGGGCATAAATTCTACACATAAGAGGCAACATAGAGTAAGCTCTCACAGATATTTCGCTGGGACATCACATGACATGTCCATGATCAGCCTTGGATGTCTGCCTTAACTTATCTAGACAAATATGATTTATATATTTAAGAGAACCTCCTAGGAGCATCTTCCAAAATACGATAACGGACTCTCTCTCTACCTGTCTCCTTTCTTCAAAGCTCTGGTCTGGTCACCAAGCTCCCTCGGTGCTCTGCGAGGCGACAAGCTCAGCGGCCGGTGGCCGTGCTCTCGCTCAAAAATCGCGGAGCGGGCTGCGAGCGCCGGGGTGCCTCCCAGCAAGCCAAAACAAAAAGGACGACGTGACAAAGACTGAGACTTATAGCAATGGACACCTAGGAAACGCAAAGAATTTGTCTATAAAAATAACACGGAGACGCGGGACTGCTCGTGCTGGTAGGTGGCTATTATTTATCGACCGTGTTCATTACATGGAAATCTATGTTTGCCTGGTCGCACGGCACTGAGACGGGCCTCCAAGCTGGATCTCCACCTGCCAATTTCCGTGACATGCTTGATTGGATTCACTCTTGTGGGATGATCTGCCAGATCGGCCAGATCTACTCGGTTCTCCATTCTGTGACTTGGGCCCGCACCTGGGCTCCAATGGTCCACAGAGTTCTTCAGTTTGTGCAGTTTCAGGGTTGATGGAAACAATCCAAGGACTCTTTTGATATCTTTTGGATTGGAATTTGATGGAATTTGTATTCTCAGGTCCAAGTACCTTCTGACAAGGTGTTTGGGGTAAATACCTTCTGAGGAAGCACTTGGAGCTCTCTAGGATATACCTGAACATATCTAAAAACTAAACCAGCTCTTGGCGATCCCATGCTGCAAAGCTCATTGAGTCAACAAAACCCGGGGAATGACCATCGGCCATAATTCCACGAATCTGTCGAGAGCTGCTCGAAAGTACACACCAGCTCGCTCCATTTAAGAGAGCCTCGCCTCCGCTCGCCTCCCTCCCCCAAAACATCGACCCAACTGGTGTGACCAGGTCCTGGATCACTTCTTGCCCTTCTTTTTGCGCTTCTTCTTCTCCTGGTGGCATAAGAAAATGCCAGGTGTCAGCGGTTTTGTGCTTTTGCCCTTTCGAAAGGTTCGTTCGTTTAGGCCTAGGCTAACTGGCTAGCTTGCTTTCGGCGCTTGTTCCTATCGGCTTTCTGCAATACCTTCGTCTGATTCATGTCTGATTCTTTCCAGCTTGCTGCACCACCGATTTCTTGACCAGTCCTCAGTCTCATCCGCCTTGTCCTCCACCTTTTCTTCCTTCTCAGGCTCATCCGCCTGATCGGTCAAGACAAATAGATTCGATGCCATAGCGTTTGAGGACAAAGCTTCGGACAACCACCTGAGACGTGCGAGAACTTGCTGCAAGAGTTGCATGTTGCTCCTGCGAGCTACTTTGATCGAATCGTCTGAGTGCCATTGCTTCATCGCTAAAACTTCCCTCAAAACATCTCACGTCCAAAAGGTTTCAACTTGGCTTACCAGAACAGGCTTGCGCAACTCAGAAGACAAACGAGCACCCGAATGTCTGCATATCTCTCCACGTCTTGAACCTTGCAGGTGTCTGCTTGTGTGCTGACATGACATGCACCGATCCACACATCTGCTGAAGCCATGGTTCCCGTCTGGCTGCTTCTTGCCATGCAGCACAAACCGCAACCCACCAAACCAGCCCCAAAACCGGTCACCGCCCTGAAAGTGCTCGAGGCCGCACGGCCTTGTCCCACCCAACAGACCAAAAAGTCCCATCCGGAACTTTCCGCCTTTGCTTCTGCTTCCTTTTTATGAGAAAGCTCCTGGACATCCAGGTAGGGCCCCCACCCTGAGTCCCAAAATCCCATGGTGGTGCGGCATTCCACCAGCATGCCACAGGTTGTACGTTGGCCATGGTGGAATCATGGAGAAATGGATGAACAAGTTCCAGACTGTGCCACCCCCCCCAAAAAAAAGTAATATATATATATATATACATGCGGCCAAACTGCCTATCAACAAACAGCATCAATACACAAGGTCTTCCCAACAATATTCAATTCATTCTCATTTCTGTACCTTGTTTGATGCCCACTGGGCCAACTTAGGGATCCAATAAACCGACAATCTCAGAATGGTTTGGACGTCGCCAAGCACCAGAATTCTGGTTGGCCTACCATCTTCGCGGGCATAGCACCTATGCACAGATCGCTTCGCAATTGCCCAGATCGGAACCACCACATTCGATAGTAGCAGTCTTCGGTCGTCTACGGGCATGCTGCCCTGTTTTTGGTCCGACCATTCTCACGTAGTTGGCGCAAGACCACGTGCCTCTTTCTCCTTATCCTTGTTCTTTTTCTCTTTCTTACCTCAATCAATTAAGCGGCAGGTGGTAGAGGGACTCGCGAATCGGCTTCGTCGGGATTGATGTTGGGGAAAGCAACTGGGATGGCGAAACCCAGGGAAGTATTGTACATGGGTTTGATGCGTAGCATTGTGAGAGATGGTAGCATATTGATTCACACATGTCTTTGCCTATAATATGATGAGGAAATGCTTTTCCTCATCTACTTTGGGATGGATTCTTTCATGATTCGATCCACATGGATCCATTGGTCTTCAGGCACTTTCCGCCTTAAAACGATCCTCCGGAGGAGAGATCCCTTGGACATGTAGCACCCACCAATTCAAAAGAACAGTACTCCAAACCCCAACGAGTCCACTTCAGGAGAAATCAGTACCTCCAAATGGACTCCGATGTGCTTTCGCTTTCGACTCGGTCCACTCGATAGGATCTTGACCCGATCAGGGGATCCACATCCCCAAGCCGGTGATCTGGCTGAAAACGGACCGAGGGGTGTTCTGTTTCGTTTCTGGTGCCAATCTTAAGACGGAGTTCGTTCTTTCTGCACACTCGCGGTGCAGGAAGATGCAGGAAGCTTGGCCACTCCCAGTTCAACAAACCAACATTTTGGTCAAGAAATGTCAAGAGACAAGGAGAAAGAACAGGGAACAATTATGAACAATTCAATGAAACCTCGACATCTCCCTTCTTACACCCTGTCATGCACCAATCAGATCTCACCATCTCTCTACTTAGAAGCCACGTGCCCGGTGCACCGCGCGGGAACCACTGCCACACAGTGCCTCTCTCTTGCTCCTGCTTTGCGAAGCCCGCTTTGAGCCTAAAGAGGCTCGCCCGCCCCAACCGCCCTTCGCGGCCTAAAGAGGCTCGCCACGTGAGGAACCCAAGCGATCCAAAGAACGTTCAGAAAGCATATGCATTTCCCCCACCTACATTGTTGAGGGGGTCCCTCGCATCAAGTTGATGTGGGTGCGGATCCACAAGGATTTGTTTGCCTATTCTCCGAACCCGACGATCATTACAAATATCTGCTATCTAATTCGTGACACATTCTTGAAACTGGTAGCCAGGGCAGGAGCCGGGAAAAAACAAACATACCAGGACAATCCAAGGGGTGTCCAAGAGACTATGCAGGGATCCCCATTGGACACCCATTGGATGGTCCAGGTATACTTCAATATAATGTGCATATGTATATTAAACACCAATATACACACATATATATATATACATATTAAATATGTATATATAAATATATATGTGTATGTATATTCATCAGACTGAACTTAGGGAGGCACCTTGGCATGGTGGAACAGCCTGAACGAGCCACCGCATGCCGCAAAGAATCAATGAATTTTGGACAGCCTGGGTGGGCCTCATATATTCCAGGGGCCTCTGTTACACACTGTTGCCTCTGTTTAGATGAGTATGCTCTTTGTTCCTTGATTGATGTTCTCATGCTGATGCTTTTGGTGTCGATTTCGCAGCCCAGCAGCGTCTTCCGCATGTCGTAGGCGTCCTCCTGGTCTGCGTAATACTTGGCCTCGATGTCCTGGACCATCGGATGGGTGGCAAGTGTCGACAAGCAAATTTTGTGTCAATGTTTTCTCAAGCCAACAGGGGCATATTTTGTTGGATAGCCCATTGTACAGTGGATTGAGAGTAGACGGCACAATCCCCAAGTTGGGTGGTTTATATGGATCCCCATCTAAAAGACATCTTGGGGGTTGTGCCATCTACTCTGAAACCATTGTAAAGACTTACTCACCAACTTTGACCTGCTATGTCATCTGCGTGTCCCATCCATCTACGGTATCTGGGATTCTCGCGGTCCTGGATCTCGAATCCCAAGGTCTCCGAGTAGAGGGAAAACGCTGCTCGGTTGGTATACCGCACCTTGCTGGGGGCTGCTCGTGCGGAATACCAAAGACGAAGAGTCTCCCGTGCTGTCCGTCACCTGCCGTCCTTTTCCAGGTCCCGAAGAGGTTGCGTGGGGTCAAAAAAACGTGAGAATAATTACAGAAGGATAGGTAGCTCATGGGGTGCTTCGGACTTTCCTATCAAAAAATCCTGAACACCTCTGGCTTTGAGAGGCCACAAATCTTCCTGCAAACCACCTGAGCTCCTAAATGCCAGATACATCTGAGGCGGAGGCATGCAAAGAGACAAACTCCGCACTGAAGCATTCCTCCATGGTGGCGATGGAGGCCCTGAAACAAGTGGGCCCACTGGAGAGATCGAAGATCGAAAGTGGAGAGATTCATGGAGATGACTCAATGATCTCAATGAAAGCTCGAGTCAATGAGTGACCTGCAGTGACTCAGAAATCACTGCGATAGGATGGAGAAACAAATTTAAAAAGAACTTATCTGCTTCGGGAAAGCCTCCAATATCATGACGAATTTGAGGTCCTGCGCCATGTCCAACCCCCTCCATCAACTCCTCCGGGTCAAACCCCTTCACGAACGAAGTGAAGTGGGTTCCCTCGCGAATGGAGGTGCTTTTGCAGGGACATGGGAGCTTCACTCCCAACAATCGTAGTTATATACATGGATGGCATGGCCACTTCCAACAGATCACCATGCAGTCCTCAAAAATAACAGGTGGTGCCATCCACTTCCATGACTAGTTCAAGGAGAGCCGTGTCCCCGCTGTCCGTCGTTGATGTTGTGGTGGTGGGAGCGTCTCACCTTCCAGTGCAGTAGAACTAAGTTCCTTAGAGATGTCCAACTCAACAAATAAATCATATTACACTCTCTGAAATCATCATGGAAGTGGAGTTCATCACCTGTTTCTAGAGGAAAATGGTTATCCAAGGGCAATTGTCCACTTCCATGATTGCTTCAGGGAGTGTAATCATCCTGCTGTGGACTAACAAAGCTGCACCATCTCGGGGACATTCCTCTGCAACAAATCTGTCAAGCATTATGGCAGGGTATTCGTTCTCCCTTCTCCGAAGAGCCACCACAAGTCTGGACGCACAGGCCCCTGATTGGCAACATGAGATGAGACAAACTGCAATTGGGCGAACCCTGGGAACCTGTTCACCCCGGCTCCCACCCAGCTCCTGAACATATGACATCGACCACGTGGACTGCATCGACCACGTGGCCACATGTCTCCACCCCTAACCAGCCTCATCAAGGCCGTAGCAATGCCCAATCTCCGGTAACCTGTTCGCCACAGGCCGTTGTTCTCCCTGACTCGGATCAGCTACTCAGCTAGAGGGCTCTGACCCAGCCCAATGAGAGAATTCGGTTAAGACTGCAATTGATGGGTTAAAAGGAACCAATCCTGGAGGACACTTGGAGAGAGATGGGGACACCACTCCATCTCAGTTGACACCACATCGCAAAGGCCGTGACCATTTGGTGGTTACTGTAATATTAAATAGATAATATATATATATATATCGTAATTATCCGGTATATTATATTGCAGGATTGGACGCCAAAGAGGGGGATCATGTCAACTGCTCGAGTGGAGAAGGTGATTCTTCAAACAACACCTCAAAAATCCTCAGAAGGTACAGTAAGGGGAACCTTTTGGTTCCCGAGAGCTAATTACGAAACTGATCCAAACGAAAGCTGAACACCTTCATGCACCAAACCTAGCTGGCCTGGCGGCCTGACTTAGGCCACGAAAATCCTTGCGGCTCGGCTTAGAGTGTAAGTAAAAAGAAGCACTGGTAGCTCTGCTCCACCCAGGCAGCCGTGCCCAGGCCGATCGGGCCGGTCAAAACTGCTGTTGGACTCTGCACTGCAGGTTCCACTCAAGGGAGCCACATTCCCAGCGGCGGAGGGTTTTCAGGAGGAAAGGGGATAGAAAGTTGAAAGCAAGCGCGGATGAGCTATGCCTAGAATGAGGAGTTCTCCACCTGGGTGGCACCTCCCTTCGGTGCGACCGTCAGGAAAATATGTGAAAAAGAAGGACGACCAGCGGTCGGTTGGTTCCTCCACAGGTGTTCACATGTGTTCACCCTTGGGAGTGGAACATGCTCGCCCCGATGTCACTTCTCATCTCCGCTCAGTCACTTCTCATCACCGCCAGGGAGGTGATGTGGCCATGCACCTCGTCGGTGTCCTGGGACTTTTGGACGCGGTGAGGGGCCCAACGAGCAGGGCGAACGAATTCATTGGTCTGAGTCTTAGCACAACTTATCAGCATGCAGTCGCTGTACCACGCTGTACCATTTACAGTGATATCAAGATCATGATCAAACTCGGTACTGAGAAAAAACACCCGTCATTCGCGCCGGACTGAACCAGTGCTTTTTCCTGCTCTCGTGTGTCCTCCTCCATCTTGGCAAGGACATAGCCAACGATCCGGTTTTGGCTATCAACCTGAGACGTCAGACCCTGCGCTTCAGCTGGTCGGATGTTTCGCTGGGTCGTTCCGGGTGGGGCCTGGCGCCAGGCTAGCCTGGAGTCCTGGAGTTTGAAGAGTCCACTAGCTAAAAATATACAACAATATAGTACAGTATAGATCAATATAGTATGAATCTAGTCTTCTCACAACCGAACCATCCATCCGGAACCATTGATGTGCGGTCCATATCGTCCGCTCCCTTCAACCGACCTCTTGGTGTCCATCCTGACCTCGGGCCCCGGACAGCGACCTGAGGAAGTTGCGGCCACGACAGGGCATGGTAGAGGTAATACTTCCTCAGCGGGTTCGTGGGATGAATCGCAAATGGTGGTAAGGGGAGCATGAGGCTGAAGGAACTGGTTAGGGGCTAAGTCAAAGTGGGTGAAGGGGGAGCATGAGGCTGGAACTCATGGTGGCCTCTGGCTGTGCTAAGAAAGAACGTGAACAGGTAGCTTTGCTAGCTTGATCTAGCTTGCCCTGTTTGGATAATATCCCGGCCGGCTAGACCCGGGATTAGCAGGCCACATCTTCTCTGAATTCGCCGGCTGCATTGCTTGCTTGTCGGTGGGCCTGGGTGAGCTTTTCGTGAAGTGGCTCTTGCGATGTCAGAAGTCATTGGCAGTTGCCACTCAACTTTCACTGCCAAATGGTTCACCTGCAGCTCTGTCCGCACAAATCCATAGTGGGTGGTGGTGGGTGGGTAGTGGTTGTTGGTAGAGGTGGTGGTTGCTGGAAGGAAGGGCAAGGGCGGAGGGAGATTTTGTCGTTGCTGTTGGGAAGGGAAGGGAAAGGGGGAGAGGACGGGTAGTTGCTGCTGTTGTGGTAGTTGTAGCCAACAAAAACAACAGAATGCAAATCATGCATTGCAACCCTGACTGCATCGCTCCCATCAGCAACCCTTCTTGACTCCCATAGCCATGTAAAGCTACATCCTCGAACATTGAAATGCAGGGTCGGCCGCTCCCACACGAAGTTCCTTCGGATGGACATGGCCTATATGGGGCTATAGGGAGGGAGGGGCCCACCTGGCCCTCGATGGATTCGTACTGCCACAGTCGATGCTTTTGGGGAATCCGGGCGCCTTGCCACTTCCATGCAGGACGAGGGACATCTGATAGTTCTCGGGCAAACAGCACAGGTTACCTTAGAGGCTCAACTGCCCGGGCTTCTGTTTCTGCAACCCCCAATCACAGTTGATCCATGATTGTCCCAAATTCAGCCCAGGCAACCTTCCTTTGATAGTGCCGTGTTGCCCCAATTCAGCCATGCAGGACAGAAATCTTTGCAAAAGGTGTGTTTCACAGGGAGCGATCTTTTCAGAGATCTTCCTCATATACACCCGCAACTGCATGCAACACCGGGATCCTCAACTTTCCTTACGTGGAACCTCAAGCTACCAGCATTCAAAAACGTAGTTGGGGGTCTCCTCCTGTCAACTTGAATCCTCTCCGCTTCTTTGGGTTGGAGCTTCAAAGAAGGGGCCTAGCTAGGCTTCCAAGGCACACGCCTGCATGCCGGGCAAGTCATCGATAGTCGCTGGACGAATGGAAACCATGCCACGGTCATGTGATGGCGGACCCGAGGACTCTAGAACTGCGCTACAGCTTTTGCGGCAGTCAAGGATTGCAAGTTCAAAACGTGCAAGTGAACCTGCTGACGACAAACATATCCCAACTCTGTTGCCATATATGTGCGCGGCCAATCTGCCAAGTGAGCAACCAAAAAATAATGAGAGGAAACTGAAATTCTGGAGAATGTCATGCAAAGTTCGGCCAGGGCCAGCCATTACCAACCTTCTATAGTCCATCCTCCATCCAAAGGAGCTCCTGCAAGGCTGCCCTTTTTCGCGCAACACGATGTGGTTGAAACTCTGTACACTTAACAACTGATCCAGTCTCGACTCTCGCAGTGATCACTCTGAGATTCGCATCATTCGACTCACCTTATCCACCAGGTTCGATTGCATTCACTAAGATTCAGCGAAGGGCTCAAACAGTCTCGCTGCAAGATCTAGAGCAAAAATCACTGGGCTGGCTGCTCGCACAATCATCTGTCAAATGCACCCTGTGAGCATAGATCTTAGCCCTGAGGAGGTCTCCTGAGGCCTTGCGGAATCCTTGAGAAGTGGAGCGGGATATCCAGCCACGTTTCAGTCCCACATCTGCGACTCGGACGGAATCTGTGATAGAAGGTCTGCCAAATCTTTAACACCGATCATCCGCCCAGGTAGACTTTTGTTGCTTTGACCTTTTCTGTGGGGTAACGTGAACGAATGACACTTAATAAGAACATCCAGCCGACCTTAGCAAGCTACGGGGGCCAGGCCCCGCACGCAGCAAGCAGCCGCTAGCTGCTGGCGTGCGTAAGAGATCTCATCTCTCTCCAAAAGTGTCGGCATAAGGAGCTCACCGATGCTCACTCAGGGTTCACAAAGTACTGATTGAGCTCCCCAAAGGAGGACTTGCCAGTCACCACCTGGAAAGAAGACAAACACGAGTTGAGGGCAACCTATTTATTTGTTAAGGTTCCCTCATCTATGTCTCGGAGACTGTTTCTATCTAAGAGCTTGTCGCTGCGAGCTTGTCCCCCTGTTCTTTTGATACTTGCTCGGTGCTTGTTCAGCCTCCGAGAACGCTGATTATAGGCTTCGGTCTTAGAGTTGCTGGATTTCAATATCATAAAGGACAGGGCTCCTCAAAATGGCAATGTTTGAGCATTCCTACCTTCAAGAATGGGGACCACCCACTGTGGGGAAGGAATCACCACCATGACCACTTCATAAAAGGTACAGCATACGTATATGATATAAGTAACATATATATACAGTATAAATATATACATATATATATATATATATTTGGTACCCCCCCCAAATGTCTACCTCTTTTAGTTTTGCTTAGCTTGGTATTTGCAGTGTTTTATGCGCATTGTTTCTGGTTTGTTTTGGGGAGCAAATTTGAGGTGAAAGCGGGTGCCATATATATATATATATGTATATATATATATTTGTAGTGTTAATGTTGTTCAAAAACAAACTAACTCAAACTAACAACTCATATAATCAGTTGTATTTAATCAATTATCATACGTGCAATTGCACTGGGTGCAACTGACAGTATGAATTGGAGTGCTCATATATAATATTGTTCATTGTCATGTATGTACACAATTAATTCTGTACACTGTTATTGTTTTTGGGTGGGGTCTTCACACTTGTACACCATGAGATTCATACTTTGAATTGCAAGTCCAATGTAACAATTTGGGTTGATAATTGTCAAACTCACATGATCAATTATATCAATGAATTCTTGTTTTTGCAATTGCATTAGATACTACTAACAATATGAATTGGAGTGTATCCTTGTTTTCTAATTTCCCAACCTTGGAAAGGTATGCCCTTATCTGTGTGCATTGGTCAGCCGTTCTGCTTATATTAATGCATTTAAAACACAGGACAACACAGGGTAAAAACCATGCTAGCAAACCAAGAAGGTAGACATTTGGCGGGGTAGCATATATTTTTGTTTTACTTTGTTATATATTCACATATATATATATATTATATATATACAGATGAACTAGAAGTCCAATGACATCCAAAGACTATATTTGATACCACGCAGTTCCGTGGTTGCAAGGACCTTGATCACCTGCCCCACCCGAACGGATGACCGAAGACTGACGACCGATGATGCAGGTCACAAGGGCGTCAATCCACTTCAGGCTCCAGCAGTTCCTCGCCCCAACGACATCGCCGGCGCAGACTTGAACGGGCCCGAACCAGGGCCCCTTTGCGTCGGCCGAACCGAGTCCAAGCAGCTCGTTGGACCTTGGGGTCGTTCTCCAGGCGAGTGTAAAAGCTGGCCAACTGGTCGGTGCCCGAGAAGAGGCTCGGCTGACACAGCTTCCTGGCTGGTGGAGCAACCCTGGACGAGTGGTTGGTCCAATGGAAAGAGCGAGCTGATGCGACAGTTGAGGCACACTCCGAGTCACTGACGTGAAAGTGGAAAACCACCTGCAGTATAGAATGTAGAGGAAAATTGTCATTGCAATGTTCGACTTCCGTGACTTTTTCAAGGAGCATGAGTAATGTTGAAGAGACTTGGGTACCTTTCCAGGGATTTGGACCCAACGGGCACGCTCAAGACTCTGGACCAAGCTTCATCTGGTGCAGCATAGACCACAAATAGAGCTCACCCACCTAATTTGCAAGCAATCAATCCCAAGCAGTCTAGCAGTGGGAAATTTGTTCGAAGGCATCACACAGTGGAGGGTTTGTTTCTTCCTTTACAAGAGCCCAAGTGACGTGACGTACCAAAGAGAGAGCGTTTTCGTTTGAGTTTGGGGAATTATCCTTGAAATGTGTGTTGTCTAGTAAATAGATTTGGGTCTGTATTTTAATCAGAACCAAATGGGTGGGGACCGCCAACCAGTTAACCAATGGGTTTGGGTGAGGTGTTGGTCTATTTTTCCTTCTTCCAGGTAAAATGAGTGTCATAGCTTCTACAAGGTTCTACATGTTGCCACACCTGCCAAGACACGGTGGTCGTGGACGTGAACTGGTCGCCATTCACCAAAGCGTCCAACTTCCGCATCTGATCTGGAACCCACTCCTGCACACGTCATCAAATGTCCAACGGGCGCTGGTCCAATCTTCCCTGGGTCTGGGTCAATCATGGTCATTCTAATTCTAGAGAATCTCCATGTGGAGCTCTGCAAATGAACAGCATGGACGATCGGAACATTGCATTTCTGCAGTACCATGGTTTGTAAATTCAAGGCCTTGATCCACGCCCATCATGAGAATTCTTGACCCACATCAGGTGTTCATAGCCTCCATGTTCAACTCATCCTGCTCACTGCTTCGGCCTTCCACCCCCACACCTCCTCAGTGTCTCGCCCTCGACCGGCCGCCTCCCAGAACTTCGTGAAGGCCTCACGGTCGCCCTTGCGCGTCATGCCGTCGCGGCCCAAGTCCCCCAGCTTCACCTCACTCGGAGGAGTCGGGATTCGTGCGCCAGGCGCTGGGGAAGGAACAAGAAGCGACCGCGGAAGGCCTCAGAGACCGTGGAAAGGGGGGAAGGACCCAGCTTTTGATGCCATGAGTTCTTTTGGGAGTCTGTTTGCCCACATTCCTGGTCCCAAACCGCCGATCCTGCAACGAATCTTCGCACGAATCCCCTTGAGCCCTGTTAACTTATTTATTTTTCACACCCTCTCTTCCGCCAATCTTCCGCCCGAGGGGCCGACACGGTGGGCTGAAACTTCTGCATGGCGGCATAGAGGTCCTGGAACGTCCACGTAGGACGGAAGATCTGGTGGATTGTTCGATATTTTGTAGGCCAGCTAGTGGATGTTGAACTTCGATATTGAGAGGGTGCAGATCCGCCTGGCAAGCTCAACTCGTAGTGGCAAGTGAGACTTGTTGAACCATGTTGAACTGTTCATCGCTGAGGAGAGACCTACCAACTCCCAACTCCAGCAAAGCTTCAAAGGCTGCACACCCCACGAACACGAACAGTTCCGCAAAACCCAGTGACGCAAAGAAGTCACTCCAGTGCAGTGGAACCAATCGCAGGGGCTCCGCTGACGGATGTTCCGAAGTCTTCCACCCAAGCTTGCCTCCCCTTCGCTCGGTTCGGGACGACCGGTGCCTCCCCTTCGGCCAGCAAGGACTGCGACATGGCAAACTCCTCTGGTGTGGCACCTGCCAGCTTAGCAGAACATCAAGGGACACAAAAATGTAGGAAAACTGCTACCATCTGGTACCCGAAGCTAGGAAGTCAAGAATGGGTGCTGGGACCTGTTCCACTGTTGGAGGCTTCTTGGCCCATCCAGAGTCCAGAAACCGATTCAGTACCAACGTCCCACCTGGTCACATCCGGTGTTGGCGAACCAGGTGGGGCATGGCAACTGGAGGGCTGACCCCAAGAGTTCTGCCCTGCACCACTCGGGCGCCAACAGGGCACACGTTGTTTTCTCCCACGCAGGCGCGCCTTCCATGCCCGAAAGCCGGGCCATGTAATTCCTTCGGTTTTGAAGGGGCTGGGGGCCGGATGACGGACCGGAATGCCGAGCCACATGGCGTTTGGAAGAAATGTGGCACCTCTATCCTTACTGAGACAGTGAGCTGAACTTCGTTGAACAAGCACCAATTGATTTCGACTGTTGATGAATAAAACTCGTGCTACCTATCAAACAAGGTCAAACAAAACATAACAAAACTATATAGGATCATATTGGATCACATAATATATGTTTGCATAATAGGTTGATACTCCTCAACCACCAACGTTCCTTCTGACACTCCCGGGCCGTCCAATGGTGATGCGTCGATTCCGCTTGGAACAGCGTGGGAGGCAAGCCGAAAGAACCGTAAAAGCCCTTGAAATGGGCCAATGGAAGAACAAGGGGCATCGCTACGAACCCAGCGATCGGTCGCTACGATCGGGGCTCCCTGGCCTTACTACTAGGAGAAAGGTTCGCTACGAACGGAACAAATGGCATCGCTACTGTTTCAAAGCTGTCGCGTTGAGCAGGTCATTTCGCTCGGCGACCCCCCGGGCTCACCGCAATGTACGACCGGGACATGCAGCCATAGACCGCTGCAAGCTCAAAGACATGAATGCCCACACCCAAAGTTAAGGCTTGAGGGTGCCCCAAACCAGATGTGGTCAGCCCAAAGCCGGATTTGCACCATTTCGAGTTGCATTTGACATTGTACCCTCATGCCAACAAACACTTCAAGCAAATGTCCCTCATAAATCTTCTTAAATCCAAGCAGCACAATGGCAAGGCACTGGGAGACGCGAACCGAGCCGTTTTCCAGCAAAGGCAGTTGCCCAAAGTGACATTTGCCGCTCTCCTGACAGCTTGTGTCCGTAGTTTTCGGCAGGTTTGCCCAGGCCATTTTCCACGACTTATAAAGCACATAATTATACATAATTTAGTAATACTGCTGGAAATGCAACAGTAAGTGGAAATGTCTTTCATGACCTCCACCTTCACTTCGGCCACTTCGGTCTCCTTCAGCTTGGGCCAATCATCTCGAGTGAAGCCCAAATCCTTTGGCCCAACCCAGGGGAGCCCCGAGAATTCAGCCACCAGCGCAGGGCCTAGGCCCTTGGCCATCAATGGGAAGTAGTAGAGCCTCGGCTGCCCAGTGGCCCAGCCAGTGGTTTTGGGGGTTGGGTGGTTTTCACTGGAGAATCCCCCAAATGGTCAGTGCTAGAGTCCTGCCCCCAAAACAGTGCCTAACAAGAAACGAGTCCTGCCATGTCCTGCCCGTCCAGGGTAATTTTTGAATGGAAGAACTCATCTGAGATTACCTTTCGTCGCTTTCGGATTGTTTTTTTGGTTTTCGTGTCCTGGTGCCAGGCAAGCGGTTCGGGTCCTGTCGCGGGCGACTCTTAACCCACAGGCCGTGCGACTCTTGGTCACCCTCAAAGCCAATGAAAACACGGGTTTCCTCTATTGAAGCCAGCGGCTGGTTGTTGCGCTGCGCAGGTATGTGTATAATACAGTGTGTTATGTTACAGTAAATATGCAGTTATATATATATTATATATACCAGGATCATCCAATGGCTGTCCAATAGACTACCCTACCCTACTTACAGGTCTCCATTGGGCACCCGTTGGAAGTGCTAGGTATATATATTGCGCGTGTCTGTGTGTGTGTGTAAGTGTTTGCGTGTGCTTTTGTTGTTGTGCGCAGCTAACAGTTGAAGCAAGCGTTGACAGAAGAATCAATTGCACAGGGTAGGACTATGATGATCACTTCACATAAGATCGGCGAAAGCTCCGCTGGCTGCAGCCGTCTGGCTTCATTGGCTCTGACATGGCCGCAGCTGGCCTGCGTCGACTGACGGTCCGCGCGGCACAGCCAACTGACCTAGTGAACAGTCTGCCTCATGCAAAGAGAAGATGGAGTAATCCAAACAAAAACCGGCAAAAACGGTATCCCAATCACAAAACAAACTCCGACACACAACGGGTCCACTGAAACAAGTACACATCCAAAGGATGAGCCTCTCCTGGATCCCTGCCTCTTCATGGGTTTGCTCAAGGGGTCCCAGACCTGAGCTGTCCCAGTTCGACCCTTAAAAGAATAGACGTGACTAAACCACACTAAACGATGGAGGGTTTCCTGTTCCTCCTGCTTCAGTCCACTAATTACACACACATGATTGAATCAGGAGCAAATCCATTGTATCAAATTTCCCCATTCTCGGTGCTTTGAGAGGAGGCGCATGAGTGTATTCTAGTATCGCCCCCTCATTTCAACACAGCTCCCCACATCACAGCTGTAACATGAACAGCCATTCCGATACACTGCCCCGCCACATGTCACATGTCACAGCGGAATAGCTCATTTTATCAATGTTGTAGTTTAGTCACGCTATGCAACTATTTCATCGGGTGCGGTCATGTCCACCCCGCCTGGCACAAAAATGGGCCGAGCGTTCACGTTCCGCCGGTTCAACACCTGCCCCCTTTGAGCCCAATAGGCGCAGCGGTTTGCCTGTGGCCGCCTGTCGTTTGAAGAGATGACATGATGAAGAGATGAATCCCAAAGACTCCATGGTAATATACATTGACTGCCATGACCTTTACAACGACCTCAATCAATGTAAATAAATATGCCAAAACATTGGCGTGTCACATGTAAATGAGATTTAGATTTGGAGACGAGCATCAAAATTAAAAGAAGGGTTGCTTTTGGATTCTTTGTTGGTTTCATGGTTCTTGATGCGACCAGGTGAGCAAACTCCTCTTTCGGTCCTCACCCCCCCAAAAAAAATACCTTACGTATACCATCATATACCATTATATACTGCTGAACTGTTGGAAGTGGTGTAGATGCCGCATCTGCGGGCAGTTGTTTCAGCTACTTCACGGAGATCTCCGTACGCCGTAGGATTTTGAAGAGTCCTGCTGAGAGTTGCGCCATCCAGTTTTATGTCTGCGTGTTTTTTTTTCACAAGAAAGATCTTGATATAGTCCCTGAATGTATCATGGAAGTGGATGGCATGACCCCCAAAAGGATGAACATTAAATGCACCGTGTCATCCACGTAACCATGTGGATTCTGAGGTTCTGAACCACAGGAGGCATGGCCGCTCCTGACCCTTCATGGCTGTCTGTGTTTGAAAGATGTTATATAAAAGCGCAGTGTTTTGTTGTAGGTCATGCTTCATCGGAGATTCAAAATCATGAAGCTTCATGGATGGTTCATCCTTCCAAATACTCCACCAATCTCTATACCAATGTGTTGTTCCTCTTCCCAAAAAAGCTGACGCGGCCGCAACCCAGCGTTCCGATTCTACGTAAGCGCAATCTTTTCCTCATATGTGAGGACCCGCCGACCACCTCACCACAGGACGGCGAAGAGCGAGGCGAGGCCTTGGACCCAGGGCCCCGTGAGGATGTGAAGGATTTGGGGTCATCTTGGTGCGATCCTGGGGATCTCTCGGAAATTCGACCGCACGGTTGTGAAACACACGGCCTTCTCATCGTCATGTCTGTGAGCAACTTGGCAGCACATCGGATGCACTACGTCGCAAAGTGAGCTTCCCCGAGAAACGAACACATCAGCGGTGGGTATGCTTCGCTAAAGAAGCCAGGATGCAAAGGACCAGTGAGAACTTCCAGTTCCCGAACATCCGCGGCCACTCCGTTTGCGGCACCGGCCCACAGGGCGTGAGCCGAGGGCCGCGACCCAACATCCGATCCTGAAGACGCGATCAGCAGAAGTGGAGCATGAAACAAGAGATCTTCAAGCGCACATTCTTGTTTTTATAAAATGAACATGTTCAATGATGTCATCTGAAACGACACGATGCGCATGTCCCAAGTCGACACGATGCGCAAGTTTTCCCGTTGTTCGTCCATGTCTCGATGGCGTTGGCCAAGTAGTAGGCCACCACGAGGAGCTGTTCCAGTTCCCCTCCGCGGATGGGGCGTTGCCATTCGGATCCAGCGAACTCCTGGACGGTGCATGGACCGCAGTGCTGCTGGAGGGAAAGGGGGGAAGAAAGACTGGGAGAGAGTGGTTTTCGGGTCGGGCCCAAGAAAGATCTTTTTTGGGTGTGTGTGTGTGTGCTCTATATATATATATACAGTATATATATATATATTATATAGAGATATCGCCGTAGAACCCATTTGACCTGCTTTTTGATAGGAAAAGTCGGGGAAATGTGGTCCTTTTCTCACTCTTTGAGGGTTTGGGTTTCTGAACTTGTTACCAAGACAGGATCTTGCAGGCCAAAAGGGAATGCAGGCCAAAGGGTTCACATTCCACAAGACTAGCTGGCTCTTCACAGGTTTTGTGACCACACAGTCTTGAGTTCATCTGCGAATCTTCTGGCTCATTGAGATGGTCACGGCACACCGGTTCCATATGCCTGAAAAGCACACAAGGACGTGTGGTCCATTGGGAGCCTAACTAAGGTCGCACGATCCGTGTGATCATCATCTGGGGCTGCCTGTCCGATAAAAAGAAAGAACTCCCAGGACCTCAGCACTAGATGAAAGAACAATGGCTTTATTATTCTTGATTGACGACTGATTGGAAAAGCCGCAGGGCGCTGGGTTTTCATCCTTTCGCCGTGGTTTTGTTGGTCTGGTGACTGCTCTCTTGAACGACCCTCCGCGTCGGAGGCTCCAGTGCTGGCATTGCACTTGGCGCGCTGGGCGTCTGCATTGGGCGGCTGGCTGCATCTGGTGCGGTCCATTGGCCAAATTCCTTCAAGACCATCTCCTGGTTGAGCGATCAACCACCACCGTGGGGCTAGGCCCCGGTGGGTCTTTAAGGACCCAACGGCACTGACCTCTTGAGACCATCAGTGCTGAGGAACAGTCGAGTGCGGATGCTCGACTTGTTGGTCTTGGATGATCTTTGACCTCTCAATTAAGCACTATGCCTATTACAGTAAGCCCACTTCTCTGGGACCGATCTTCCATGTTTGGATGTTGCAGCATGTCTTGAAACTCGGCCACGAACATCTGCTATTGGCAAGCTTCAAAAAGGAAACAAAAGAAAAAGGACTCTCAATAAGCTCTCTCCCATATGCCCAAATACCATGAGTCATACCCTACCATGTCACCCTCCTGCCGTCTCACTGCCTCACCGTTGTTCCGTCTCACCGTTGTTCCTCCCATGTGACTTGGAGAGTCGGTGAGTTTGGTAGACGTCTCCCAAAGACTCACATGGGACTGGTTGATTGGCCGACACATGGGGTGGCAGGCTGTAGGGGTCGAAATTGCTGTTCCAATCTATGGAGTGTCTGCATATTGTAAAGGGATCTAAACGGTACTGGATTCTGAAGGCCCTTTGGATTGGAACACCGGGAGCGAATCGAACACCACGTGCAGCTCAGACTCGGCGAAAGGCTTGTGCTTGTTGGTTTCCTGGCAGATCTGAGCAATGTGGATTCAAATCTCCAGCTTTGTTCCAAAATAAAAGTAACCTTTTTCTACCTGTTTGTTGTTGTGGTGAATCCAATCCCCAAAAAACATTAAAGCGGTTTTAAAGGTCATCCGCTTTTCCTGGGTACTCCCCCTCACACTGGAATCTTCTTCGGAGGATCCATTGGAGAACCAAGCGTCCCGATGCATTGGTGAACATTGTGGCAATGGCCAGAATGTTAACTAGTGACTCATGAAACTCCCCTAGCTGGAAAGTAATTCACATCTCTGGCATATATATATATACGTATACACACCATGCAGTTCAAACGAGTGCCCAATTAGTTTCAATGGACTCTTCCCGGCAACATGTTCCGATCAATGGAAAGTTTCTGGTTTCCTTAGCAACATGTTCCGCTATTAAAGCTTGGGTACAATGATTGCCTATTTTCCACCTTCACCATTGCAGACAGGGGGTTCACATGGTTTGACACATCACGCGAGGATCATCCGTACAAATGGTGATGACCCCCCACATCCGCTTCAAAGCTGCCCAACATCTAGAATCGCCAGTTCCAATCAGAGACTCGGCGTGGACTCCACAGCTTGTCGAGCCCTAGAAATCTAGGGAAATATGGTCAAAAAGAACGAAAGCGGAACATTCTTAAAGCCCACATCAATTCATCAATCCCCTCCACCTCTGCCTTAATTACACCATTTCTCACAGTTTCTCGGGCTGCTCAGCAATTCTTAGGCGTCTTACGACCGAAGCAACCGGCACTACCACCCCACCCCACCCTCCGCGGGTCTCCACACCGTCTCGCAGTCTCGGAGGCCTCGAGCGCTGGGAAGGCCTGCTGTGCCCAGGGCTGGGCGTGTTGCAGCTGCCGAGACACCGCTGCCAGCAGTGGTTGCAGCTCAGTCACTGATGCCGCACCCAGCAAAGCGGCCCAGGTCAGGGCGACGGCTGAGAGCAGCTGGGGAGGAGGGAGCCTATGGGCTCAAGCCACGAAAGCGGAGAATGAGTGTTTCAAAGATCCATGTTTTTTTTCTCAATCGGAGTTCCCAAGCAATGAATTACGACATAGATTCTATACCAAGAACAAGTGATAAACTTCTTTTCGGTTTGGTATGTGTGGAATGGTTTTCTTCGCAATTCTTCTTGCCTTCAAGCAGCGACTCCTCAAAAATAGGCCTCATAGGGAGCTCTAGCAAGAGGCCATGTTCCTGCAACCTTGGACAGAGCGACGGGAACAGCGACTAGAACACCCCGACCTATGTGACCTACGGAAGTTTATGGAAGATCGACTTATATAAGTTCAGTATAGTATTTCTTGTGAACTTGCTGTTTTAAAGGCTTTTCCATGAGGCCTCCACTCGCATCTTCTTGAGCCTGTTCCACTTGGAACTTCACATCCATCCGTTTGGACTCACGGCCATGGTATCTATCCACATGTTGACCCCCAAAGGGAGGCATGTGGCTCCCCAAATTCTTAAGAAATCGGACTTCGAGGGCGAATCATGCAACTCTGCTATCTTGAGGAAGCAGCGAACCCGTGACACCCTTTGTTACGTTCGTAGCTTCTTGTTCCTGGTGCCGATGGCCTCCACCCTAATAGCGCTGGCCTCCACCTAGTAGCTTCTAGCTACTAGTAGCTTCTTGTTCCAACCTACTTGCGATGGCCTCCACCTAATAGCGTCCTGGCTACTATAGTTGCTAGTGTTCAATCAGAGGAAACCACAACCCTTCAACCCACAAGACCTACGCGTCTCTACGGCACCTAGAGTGGTACCATTGGGTGGGAAAAGGATGGACTGCTGGGTGGACGTCTCCTAGGCCCACCTCCATACATCTCGCGCTCGTCTGGGCTACCTGGAACATAGCCTGAAAACAGATTTTAAAAACAACAACCTTCAACACTTTTAAACATCCAACATCCAAGATCCGGTCCAAAATCCAAGCACAAACTCCTGAAACGCCATACAGGTCATCCGCGTAGCCAAAGGCCCAGCTGGGGCTGACCTTCCCGCAGAACCTGCAAGAGCTGCGGGTCACTGAAACAAAGCCTCAGTCCAATGGCAGGTGGAAACATGCCTGGCCTAGCAGCTGAGGTGGCTCCATCAAGACGGACATGGCACAAGACATGACCAGACACATCATCAGAATCTATCGCTTGAATAGGCGCTACTGTATGTGCCACTGGGTCTACGGCGACAACAGTCGGCGAAAGTAAGTCGGGAGAAGGAAAGACGAAACCACAAGTCTGTGGAGCCTGAATCTCTCCTGAATGTGTTGACCGATGTTGGTCAAATTGTTCGTTGTTAATTCTCGACACGAATCAGAAAGGGAGAGAAACACATCACTTCCTATCTGCTACTTCTCTTCCCACCCCCAGTTTCAATGAAGCCTTGAGGATGGGCATCTTCCACCCATTCTGCGCACTCTAAAAGATCAAACAGGGTCCCAAAGCCCCATTCAAATCAAAGCCCCAGATTTAGTGCATCTGTATAAGATCAACTAACTAAAGCTAGCGACCTAGCCTGCATATGCCTAGAACATCCTAGAAGCTGAGAGACCCCGGTGCTTCGACCGTTTGAGCCCAATCATGGTCTGTTCCTATCAAAACAAAGGTCAAACGGGTTCTATATTTTTCATGTATATAGTAACAAGTGCATCGCTTCTAGTAACAAGTGCCTTACTACTAGTAACAAGAACGCTACTAGTAACAAGTGCTTCTAGAAACAAGTCCCTTGTCTCGATGAGAATGTTCTCAGAAAAAATGTTACTAGAAGCGATGCACTTGTTTCTACTAGCTTCTTGTTACTACTAGTAAGGCGCCTCTTACTACTAGCGTGGCACTTGTTCCTAGTAGCTTCCTATAGTTAGATCGTCTTAGATCATGATAGGATCTCTAGTTGGGTCCTCCGCTGTCAACTTCATCTCACTGCCCTGGTGGAAAAGGGTCTGTAGATGTTTGTCGTTTGGGCGCCCAGCCGTTTTGGGGATGGCGGGCTGTTAGGGTACCTGGTGGGTTTTTTCACCACAAGTGCTGGGCCTCCTGTCAGTTCTGAAGTGAATCGACATGAATCAACTACTATCAGACCATTCTCCGCGATGAGCGAGTTCCGAGTCCAACAAGCACTGGCAGGTCAGCAACAGCGTCTGTGCCAAGGTCTTCAATGCCTGGATGGCATTGCGCTGACCTGGGCGCATCAAAGATCATCCAATGCCCAGGTCTTGGAACGAGCTGCATTCTGGGATCTCACCAAGCAAAGATGCGACTCTTGGTACACTCTCCGTCCTTCTCCGGGTTTCTGAAATTTCTGGGCGCCCCCCACGCAACAGCTGCTGTGCCGTGGGCGCGGGCGCATTGCCCCAGTTGCCCCCTGCTGCCCGGGCGGTCGTGTCGCGGGCACGCGCCAGCCAAGCGCCCCGATCGCCGGCTGCAAAGCGGCAAAGCTCTAAGCAAAGCTCGGAATGGAGAGGGGTGGTGAGGATGGCCTCCAGGAGGAAGTAGGCACCTCACATGGGCGGTCATGAGTTGCTTGGAAAATGGCACCGCCTGGTACAGGTAGGCTGTCGGAAGCAGTGTTGGAACGGACTATGTTATTGCTGCGTTTGGGTCAGTGGTGGTTCCTGCCATGTCCTTCAGCAGCTTCATCCAGCTTCAAACCACCTTCACCTCTCAAGCTCCCAACCTGCGGCTGAAACGAAGCAACCATCCTCAAACCGTGCACTGCGAACCTCCTCCCGTCACACGCATAGTCCCAGCACTCATCCCACCACTCCCGTCCCGCCTTGGAAGCCGCCGACATAGCTCCTCCAGCTCATGGCATCACCCTCCCCGGGCACCAGCGCCGTGGACGCCTGCGCCGTGGACGCCAGCGTCACCGCCGCCGAGGTCAGCCCCGCGGCGGCGGCGAGGCGCGTGGACGCGTGCACCGCGAGGTTGGTGTCCTCCTCGAGGAAGCGCTTGGGCACCTATGGCCCGTAGCAGCGTGGCACTGCCGGCGGGCTCTGCCGGTCAAGAGGTGCGTCATTCAATTACCCCAAGGAATTCACTTTTCGGTGCGACCGGACACCGAGTGAGATGGGCGTTGAAATTTGGGATAATTGAGGAATGAAACTCAAAACCTTCTGCATGTCCGGGCACATGAATGGAAGACTTTACTTTCACCAGTTTCACCTAGTATGGGCCTGGGCGAAATGGATTCTGGAAGATGAGAAGTCCAGCAAATTGACCACCTGAATCTATCACAGCACATGAGAGAGGAGGCTGAAGGCCCACAGAATACAAAGGAAAAAAAATAAATATGGATACTAATGGCATCTAATGGCAAAGAACACTGACGGTGTTCGTGCCGTTCTGTCTATTTCTGTCAGCTTCCTGTTGCGGGTTCTGCGCCGAAAAGGCACCCAGGTCCCCATATGGATGCCCACCGATTGTTGGAGTTTCTCCCTCCGGCTTCCCCGCAGCTGGCATGGTGGCGCTATGTGGCGCTTAGGCGTCATTCTGACCAAGAATAGGATCAAAGCCATTGATTTTCAACACCCACGACTTCACACCCCAAGAGTCTACCTTGCGTCAAATGGTCGTCCAAGAATTGGATCTTCTGTGCTTCCTACAGGCTAAAGGCATCGACCAGATCATTTTCCCAAAATTACGGATGTGTCTTTCGGTGCATGTTTTTTGCCGATCCCTTCGATCCTGTCAGCTGTCGTCGTGTGTTCGGTCCGATCCCCTCGCACCGACGGGACCCACACCGCCTGTGGCACCGGCGGCTCGCCCGACACCTCCGGCTCCAGGCCCAGAAGGGCCACATCCACAGGGCGAGTGCTGCGGTCCAGAAGGCTGGAAGCTGCGGAACGGGACGCCTAAAGTGGGCCATGGAAAAAAACATGGGAAAATCCATGGAGTGCTCCGAACCAATGTCAAAGCCACTTGTCAAATCTTGTCAACACTTGTACAGATGATACAAATGTATGGAAAATGGTATGAAAACGTATGAAACGGTAGTACATGTGTTTTGGGGTAGCAACCTTCCTTCTGCAGCCCAAGAGCCCGAGAAGCAAAAGCGAAAACACAACTCGTAGATTTCAAGCACTTCTCTTCTGGGTGTGGGCCAAAATAGCGTTCGTGACTGCTTAGCGAAGGATAGCTTTATGACACTCTTTATGGCAATATATTTATTGTATTTATGACGGGTTCAAAAATAAAAGGGGCTGTGTTTGCTCAACTGGTTTGACCAGTGAAACCCTTGTTCGGAGGCGGCTTCAAGGGTGGAGATCTGACATGCAAATAGTTAGGAGTGGAGATCTGACATGCTCTGACGATTGGACGAACCCATCAAAACTTACACATGCTTCTCGGTTCATCTGAACATGTCTTAGAATATCATATCATATTCATCTTCTAGTCTTACGTGCTGTTGACATGTCTTGCACATCTGTTGACTCCTATAGCACCTGAAAAAATCCTTCTGCTCCATGGATGCCCTTCTCTTCCTCGATTCCGAAGGCCCAAGGCGCTGGAGGTTCCAGGCGCGGCTCACAGGGGCGGAGCGTGCCATACCACTCATGGAGCCGCGGGGCCTTCCAGGGCTGCAGCAGGATAAGCCACCTGAGCGTCCGACCGCGGGGGGGGTCGAAACCACCTACAGCCGAGGGTCCCGCTGGGAGGGTGCTTAGGGAGGTACGCTGTACAGGCATCAAAGTTGGGTCTGGAAAACATGCTTGAGTCTGCTTTTTGTTGTACCTGTTTAGATTTGCTGCTGTAGACCCACTTCAAACATGGCAAATGCAAACATTGGTGTACTTTCCATGAATGTACAGCATATTTCAGACTTTGCTCCAATCAGTGGCGCAGAAGCAATTACCTTGTTCTCGGCCTCTTGCCAGGTTACAGGTCGTTTTGCACGAATCTTCAATGCAGTAACTCGAGTGTGAAGCGTCACTGCGTTCCTGCACCATTCAACAGTTTCAACCATCGCCTCACAGTGTGCATGTGTGTGTGTGTCCCCATCACGAGGACTCCCAAATCAACATCCCAAAACGGTGCATGTTTTAAAAAACATGCAGAAAACAGCGAACCATGTTTCTGGGAAGTGGGTCATGGAAAATGATTCATTGTATATATATATATAAAATTAATGTAGTCCCAACATGCCCCAACAATTAGTCCCAACATGCCCCAACAATTGCTGTGGCCTTTGGTAAAGGGTCCATCTGTACTGTTTGGACATCGCTCAAAGCTTGCCACCACATGCCACGGTTTTTTTGCCAAGGCACAGGCGAGTAAGCGAGCTAATGGCCTCCAGCCCCACTTCCTGGCCACGGTTGGAGTGATCCCCCCCACATCCAGGAGTGGAAAAGGTGTGACAGAGAGCCTTGCATCAGGCGCAAGTATATGGGACCCACAGATGGAGAAAAAAACGACCCTGCAAAAGGTACAACACACACACACACAGAACTCAAAAATAATTCCATCATATTCCATACTCCTTCTTGTAATATGATGTTCCAGCCACTTTCTACATGATTCTGGCCCCCCTGGTTTGGATGTGTGGGGATCTGTTTGGGACCCATGGATGGGTGCTTTGACCGCTTTCAGATCCACCAGGGTCTCCTTCTGCGACTGGAGCTTCCGGAGTAGTTCGCAAAGCATCTGCACCTCAGGTGGCCCGGAGTTGCACCTGAAAATTGAAGGTACTATAGTATTTGGGACTTAGTTAGCTAGGCTAACTACAGCCACCCCCTCACAAACATGTTGTCAAGGCGCCCACAGCCCCAAACTGGTGCAAACTTGCACGTACCAAAACCATCCAAAACCCATATTTGCCAGAAACGACTCTCAAGTGCCTCACAGCTACGTTGGTCTAACAAGAATTCATCAAGCCAGGCTTCCCAAATCCTCTATATAATCATCGTCTTCATTGAAGACATATGCTTCTTCTATCTTCTTCTAAGTTAGCCTCCAGAAACAGTAGAAACACATCCCCATCAGTGCCCATCAGCACCCCTCTTCGGCTGTTCTTCTTTAGTTCTCGGCACCACGGCCGGACCCAGAAGCGCGAGCTCGCGCGTGATGCGCGCGCCGCCCGCGCGGCCCCACATCAAGCGTTCCGCCGTCTCCTCACAGCCTGCACGGGAGCAAGTGGCCCCAACCGCTTGGGCAGGCAGTGGGGAAGCGGAAGGTGGAGCGGAGGTGGATCAAGCAGCTGTGAAACGAAGCCAAAACATGCACGGGCAGAAGGTACATCAAGGTACCAAAGGGGGTGGTGTGCTTCGGTCGATGGAATGGACACCCCTACGGCATGCAACAATTTCCCAAAACCATCCAAAACCAAAAACTATTCCGGAAAGCGGAGGCCCAACTAACGAACGCTTCTGGGAACCAAGCTGCAAGTTCTTGGTCTCCGGTGGTTTGAAGACTCATCACGATGCGTGAGATCCATCATACATCCATCAAACACCCATTTTTGTGGGGGAGCCCACTCCGCCCACTCCGCCCCAGCCCGAGCCCCCGTCGTTTACAGTGGCTTTCCACCTTGTCGGAGGCACGGGTTCGCCAGCACATGGAGCAGCACCAGGCGCACGGCATGGAGAGCCGCGGGCTGGAGCCGCGCATCTCCGAAGCACTGTAAGACCTCGGTCGGGGAGCAGGGGGAGAAGGGGAGGCGGAGCCTCATGGGCTCGACGAATGTCCATGTTCTTGCTTGACCAATTTCCGGAGGCTCTCTGGAAATGAAAGAAATACCCTGAGTCTACGTGAACATGCGAATCAACTGATTTACTATAGGATAGCATGCTACTTGCAGCATGGATAGGCTGGATTTGGAGCGCTGAGACGACCACTCTTCTAGCCTACTAGCCTCATAACCAGGATCCAGAATATGCAGGGTGTTGAAAGCCTCCCTCCCATCAATTCGTTTAAATCTGGGCCTGGGCTGTTCTTGTCTGCCTCTTCCGATCCGAACGGTCCGATTCGAAGGGAACCTCCCAACTTCACGTCGCCCAGTCTCCGCCCGCCCGACGATTGGAGCCAGGTCGCCGAAGAGGCTGAGGAATGGGAGGGGCTTTGCTCGATGAGGAACTCATGGAAGAGCCGCGTCAAGAGCCTGGGTGACCCGCCCTTTTGGGGTCGAAACAAGGATAGGACCAACGTCAGACTTGACCAACGTCAGAGGTCTGTTTGCACCTCCTGGTCCATAGACACAGTTGTACTGCGGCCAAGTAGGAGTGCGCTTCCGTACTGTGTGTTTGATGTTGTTTTTTTCCCGGGGAGTCCATAGTGCAGAACTATATGCATCCTGCAGGAAGACGCAGGTGTAAAAACTCCTGTGAGAATCTCCCGCAGGTAAGGTACCCCCTCAGAAGAAGAAAACAAACAGGTGATAACAGGCGTACAACCTGCCAGCATATCCATCCAGGGTTCACCCTCGACTGGATCAGCCGTAAGATCAAACAACTGGGTTTGAGAGCACCCAAGGATGGTCAAGGAAATGATGCAGTGGCTATCAGCGGCTGGGAAAGAACAACCGCAAGGCAACATCGTCAGAAATCCATTCAAAGCAATATTAGCGTCCAATGGCCCAATGAGAAAGGTTCATTCGTCCTTGTCACGTTGGCAAAACAATGCAAAACACATCGCCACTCGCATGGAGCGGCCATTTCCAAAAAGCAGTACCCATGGAGTGCCACTGATGGACCTCGCTGTGTTCGTTCGTTTTTCGGAGCGTTCGCCGTCCAGGCACAGGGCACTTCGCGACTCCTGGGCTCGTGCCACTTCCTGGGTGCGCTTGGTCATGGTTGGGTCGTCTTACGCTTACGCTGGCGCAGGTTGGAATGGCAGGTGGTTGTTTTGGATTTTTTCACGAGCCCTCCCAACAAATCAAAACATTGCCAGAAAGGAATGGAAAAATGATGAAAAATGGGCCCAGACTGATTCAGGGCTTATTTTACGCCGGCATATCGAAAGCCACTGACTTCCGCCACTGCGTTCGTTGAACTGGCCGAAGAACTTTGGCGGCTGCACAAGGTCACCGACGGTTTCACTGCTGATTCTCCCGGTACCCTCCAAGTCGTTTGACATGGAAGTGAAGGGCATGGTCCCCGGGAAGACGATCAAATCCTCTACCAAGGTGAACATGGGTGAACTCCACTTCGAATGCGAGATCGGATGGTAACCAGTTCGCTTCCACACCAATGAAGCTCCTTTGCTCCTTGTCTTGCCCACCAGCGGAGTTGTGTGTGTTCTTTCCTGTTGCTTCTGCCATGGGCCCTCGGTCAATCATGGGCCCTCGGTCAAATGTCAAACATCATCGATATTCATCGATGATTCTAGTAACTCTAGTACAGTACACGCATCATAATGTAGACATATGTAGACTCTTGAGTAATAAACCACGCATATGAAGAGATTCTACAATCCTACAATCCAAATCAGAGGGGTTTCTTAATCAAGGGGCTACATTGTGTTTCATGTCAAGTCATTGAACACCTCCCTCCAACGCAATGATCCCAAGAGTCATACTGCCGATGTGGCAGGTATGCATGCAAATGCGCCAGCAGCAACCTCTCATAGGTCGAACTCACCGTGGCTTGCCTGGGCATTGATCTTTCCGTTGCTCAGCAGTCACAGTTGCGAGACTCGCCGAAAGGTTCCATCCACTGCCGGGTCCTTGTGGCTTTAAGCCCTAAACCCCGACAGCAAAACCATGGGAACGTGCAACCACTAGACTCATTGCTGCAAACATTGATAGAAGGGATCTCTTCTGAGCGGCTCAGCATGGAAAACACCACCAAAGCCTGAGATCGTGTGCATTGTTTGCACATAGTGCGGACAGAAGTGGTGTGTTTTCCACCACTGCTCCCTTACCCTGGCAACTGTCCCATCTGATTCTCCTGCTCCTTGCCAAGCCACGGCCTAGACCGGCTCCCGCTCGCACTCCCCGACCACCCGGCTGCAGCGCTCCCACTGGGTGCAGTGCTTCCACCGGACGTCCCGGGCGCGGCGCTCGAGGTGACGGCGCCAGGGACGCTGCCAACCGGTGTCGTGCTGGTGAGGGGTGCCTTGCTGGGTGCCGGGGGCTCTGCCACCAAGTAGTAAACCAGCGTCATGAGCACGAACTCCTGGTCAAAGTTGGGGTAAATCAATGGATGTGAATGACTGTAAATGAGTGTGCTCAAAATGGATTCCACGTTTGTGCATTCTTCGGCGTAAAGATCGTCAAGCCACAGCAGCAGAAAGGACCATAAAGGACTGATGGAAACATCCTGACGAGCAACATCTAGTATCTACAGTAAGATACGGAAGGTAAAAACAGAAATAACCTCAAGTTCTAAAGGTTTCTCGGCCAATCTCCATGTCTCATGGTCGTGGGACTGCAACAAGGACAAAACAGTGACTCGACCCATATAGACCGCCAAATAGAAAAGCGGGTCCACACTAAGTGGAAAACATTTGGAACATGACATGTCATATGTTTCTATATCTAAAAATTTGGGGCCAACTATCAAGACTCCAAACAAATGCCGTCACCCGTGATGGCCACGCCTGCGCGTTGAGCACCAAGCCCTCCAGATCGCCGCCGGAGGTTCGCGCCAAGCGATTCACGCCCAGCAAGGCCAACAGCGACTGGTTCAGGTCCTGGCGAAACCGAACCGCGTGGCGAGCTTCAGTGGTCGACCCAGGAGTTGTGGAAGATTTGAGGATGGACTCGGCAGGAATCATCCTTTTTAGTGGCTGAACAAGATCGCTCCAATAAAGTTGCAACTTGCAAATCAACCAGTAGTGGTAGGAGCTTACATCTGCTCATGGTCCGAGACGCTTGGGGGTAGCAGCTTGAGAGGGAACGAGGTGACAGGGAGAGCTGCAGGGTCTGAGCTTTTAGGAACTTGGACCGGCCTGTGAAGTTCGACCATATAAGAAACAAGAACCGGATGTTCCAAACATATAAGAATTCCGGCTCGCTTGTAATAAGTTAAGTTTCTGGACCTGGATATAAGTGAACTAGGCTAGTTGTTGAAAATGTTCATTGGCCAGCCTTCACCCGGGCACTCAAATGAAAGTCCAAAATCTCACTCCCTCGAGTAAGGCCTCATGTATGTACAATATATAGTAGTTATCTAAGTAATATCAAATAATTACATGACATACAGTAATTATCTATACACCAACCACGCTCTGCCTTGAATGTGCACGAGCAAATAACTCCGGCTCATTAGGCATAGGGCATAGGACAGGGTCCCGTTCACTGGGGACAAATGCCCCCCCGCGTGAAAGGGTAAAATGGGTCACGGGATACCCCCTGGGGCACGCCGAGGGGGTCGTCGTGACGCATTACATGGCTGTAGCCGGACTCTACAAGTGGCCCCTCAGAGACAGCGTCGAAGTAACGTAAAGCTTTGGAGCGTGTGAAAACAATCTAAGGTCCCACTGCCGTGCCCGCTGTGTCGATGACATCGAATGATCTCCGAGGGTCCTCGAAGTGTCTCAAGTCCTGTGGATTTTGGGCGCTGAAGAAGCTGCGGTTGGAAGCCATTAAGACCTGGCGCATGTGGCAGTATGGCCAGTTCAAGAAGTGTGCCTTTCAAAGGGGACAGTGGTATTTCCATGCATGTTCCACTACCAAAGGATGGAGATTCCCGGGATGGTGGGTTCATGGTGCCGAACTGGGTGGTGCTGGTGTGCACATCTGCAGGGTTCTGCAGGTCACCTTGTGCTGCGACGGTGGGTGAAGGCCCCGACGGTGGGCGTCCTCGTCCTCCAGACGCGCTCCGTCACCACGATCCGTTGACCAAGTGTACAATTCTAAAGCCAAGACTAGGTTCACTGCACGTACCCAAGCCATGAGTCATTTCGGCTGACCGAAGTTGACGGAACTCCTTGGGGTGAAAAAACACATCTCCTCACCTCACCTGTGATCCTTGAGATGCATTCCATCCAAGCACTTCAAAACCCTGAAATGCTGAACTGGTTCCTTGGAAACTCCTGCCCAAATGTCCAAATAAGTGAACGAGGTGCTGTCTGTAGCGTTCGTGGAGGCAACTTCCTCAAGGGGAAGACGAAGCCGGGCGTCTCCTGCAGGTGATTTCAGGCCACTTGGAAAAAGCTATCCACCACAGCCAAGTCCCAGATCCACTCCCCTCAAAATGGTCACATGGTCCGTCACATAATGTCCACACCATTGAAGCACCACATGTCCATGGGATCTTCATGGATCTTCTATCGCCGAGTCTCCATCGCGGCGAAGAGGGGGCTCAAGGGCCCCTGTGGATGAAAGGTTCTGAGAATCGCCTCCTGCGACAGACATGGAGTGAAGCCGAGAGCCGCGTCGCCGCCAAACGGACGTTGCGACCCACCCACGGGACCTCTCCGCGCCCCTTTGGGGGGCGTTTGTGGAGACTCTCTATAGGGCTCCTCAACCGTTACCACCCTGGAAGTATAACATGGATCCGGGGAGAGTGCCACCCTAGCAAAACTGCCGAGAGGAAGATCAGCGTGTCCTTTCTTATTTTTGGATTTGCATTCAATCTTCGGGCTCGACAGCGTGACACTGAACATCTGAAGTCCGGACTCGAAGCTGTCCAACCATTGTCTAACGAACAGGACACCATCATCCTCAAGGTCCAATCCTTTGCCCTCAGCAGTTTCTGAGTTTCAACTTACCAGGCATCGCTGACCTGGCTAAGACATGTCAGATGCCAAATGTCCGGTATGGGTCAAACAAGTATATACATGGTGATCCTCCTTGTGCACTTGTGTTGGTCTCATGCTTGCAGTGACACGTGTCATGCATCCAATGTCATCCGGCCTCTAAGCCCGGATTGGATAAAGAGAACCATCCATGCAGCCGCTGCATTAACCTGACCCATCGGCGGTGCAAAGCTTAAAGCCAACTTATATATATATATGTGTGTGTGTGAGCCCTCAAGTTGATAAAAAGGTCTTCCAAAACAAGTTGATATATTACAATAATATGAACTTGTATGCACAAAGATTTAGACACCCAGAATGCACCAATCCTTAATGCACTTCATTGCACTTCTGAACTGGCATTGCAAAAGGGTGATAGCGCCACCTGTAGCTCCCTGTTCATGCAGCGTACCCGGCTATTTTCCTTCACGCCATATTTGGGGCGAATTCCCAACCAATTAGAATAACAGTTCTCCTGACAGACGTGCTACCTGTCCTTTTGCTGGAAGATGCTGAATCGATCTCCTAGCCACACCACCCACCCACCTCCCACACATCGACAGAAAAAAGCTCTCATGAATCCTCCAAGCAAACCGAAACATCCAAAGCCAAATACCATGCCGACATGCTGAACACCCTTATTTCATAACCCCCCCCCCACATGAAGACGTGTGTCAATTCAAGGATGCGTTTATTCATCAAGAGTTTACGGGGAAAAAACCATCTGCGGTCTCCACCAAACCCTGAAGGTCGGCGCACCAGGGCAGTCGCTCATACAGCTGTCGTTGCTCCACAGGGCCCACATGCCGCGTTTGCAGCGCCTCGTGGCCTTGGACGAAACGATCGGCACGTAACGATCGACTCGTGTGATCTGCCCTCAAAAGTCTGAAGAAATGCGTAAATCATGTCGAAAGATGACAATTGATGGTACATTGTTTGCAACCTCGCACAAGTTTGCTCTTTCTCTGACCAGTCAACAAGTCAGTCACACTGTTCATCCATCTGTTCACCCGGTGGACGGGGCAGGCCATGGCCCCGAAAGGATGTCCTCTCCAAGCAGCGGTGGATGACCAGGTCGTCATGACGCCAAATCATGCGGGCCACGAAGACCAATGAGAAAGCAGGTCTCTATCCCTCGTGTAAAGGCATGTATAGTTTCAGGTGGAGGAGCTACTCTCTCAAAAATGACCGGAGATTTGGGGGGTCGACCCCTGCTCATGTATAGAGGACAGTGGCAACAGCCTTTTGGTGCTGACTCCCTACTCCAAGCTCTGTCGGGATGCAGAACCTCCGGCAGCTCTCAGCCTCGCCCGGCAGCTGTAGCGCTGCCAGCAGCGCCATGGCGTTTCTGGCGCGAGACAGGCGGCACAGGCGGCACAAGCCACGGGACCTGCCGGAAAGCTTGGCAGGTCAAGGAGAAGCATGTGGGTCGACTGCTACCAAAAGAAGCCCCGTCATCTGCTTCTCTCCGCTAATCAGTGCTTTTCAGGATCTGAAGATGAACACACTTGCTCTAGTTTTCCTGATAAAGTGTGAGAAGTAGAGGCTTTCAGCCATGGATAATCACAAAAAAAAAAAAACAACACCTTCAAATAGGGACAAGATGAAACTAAGCTCTTGATGAATTTGCTCTAATGCAGTTCTAAGCCGATGGTGGAAGCTTTACCCCGCTTCTCCTTCCACAAAATGACCGAAGAGGGTGCCTGCCTTAAAAGAGTGCAGCATGTTTTTTGAGATTGGGTGTGTTTGGGAGTCCTATGCGATGACGTGGGAGGATTACTGGATTACCGATCCGGAGGGAGCACAGTGGGACGTTTGGTAGGAGCCGGAACAGCTCCACCAAGTTAGCAAATGAAGTGGGCCTCACATTTCTCCTGAGCCGTGGACCTCCTCCACGAGGATTCAGTCAGCGTCCAGCTACAGCTCCCTCCCTCGACCTGCCTCACCCACCAAGAGTGCGGCAGGGGCCGTCAACATGCGCTGGAAGCCAGCACCACAGGTGGCAAGCAAAGACTTCAGTCAGACGCTTACAGTAAGTGAATTGAAGAAGCTGTGGGGTTGGCAGTCCTACAAATCATGTGCCAGGCATCAAAAAATGATCTTGTTGGAGTCAGTTGTTGTGGTAACAGCGCTTGGACAATGACTAAAACCAAACAAAGGCACCACGGTGTGCGTATGTCTGTGCGTTTTGGCCATCCTTTCAGGCCGAGAAAGGGATTGACCTTCTTGAAATGGGTGTGCATTTCAATATAATAGGGAAGCCCCCAACAATGGGTTTTGGTCTATTTCCCTTCTTCCTGAGGGGTCCGCCTGGGAGGTCTCCTAGTTTGATACACCGGCCAAATGATGCTTTATATAGCAATAGCGCTTACGGGCTTCACATGTTTGACTCCTTCAGTTCTGTGTGCCTCAACGTGCTTGTTGCATTGTCGCCTGGTCGAACATGCTTTCCCGTCTTGTCTGTTCGTCTGTTCGATCCGATGCTAAAGCCTGAGGGTGCAGTCGACAGCATCAATCCCACAAGACCGGTAGACCACCATAAAAAGTGTGCTGGAACATGAGCAAACTCTCCGGTCCCGGCTTTGCCTAATGGTTGGCGCTGAAAAAACACCGGTCGTTTCAAAATTGGCTCCTGCACGTGCCAGTGGTTCAAGGTTCTTTCACTCAGCTTGAGCATGAAGCTCCAGCAGCCTTGGAAGGTTTGAATTGTGTGAGCCAAAGGCGGCGTTTTTGTGCCCGAAAAGTTATTCACTCACTTCTGGTGTCAAAACCAAGTGGTTCCCTTCGGCCCTTCGGCCACTTGAATCCCCCCACAGGGGGCACTACGACTTTCATTGGCCCCATCTAACTCAAAACGATAAACTTGAATCCCAATCTGCCTGAGTCTGATGACTCGTGTCCGCAAACAACGTGCAGTTTCAGTGGGCTCTGACGAATGACCGACGTGCTCCGCGTGGAACTGAAACACCGACTTTTTACGATGGAGGCTAAAGTTGGGCGATGGATTTTGTCACAGTTCCTATGGACTGGACATC